TGTCTCGGTCTTCTTCTTCGTCGTGGTCTTCTTGCAGGTGCGCGGCGGCTTCTTTAACCTCAGTTCCGCTATGGCAGACTATCTCCCTCGGCTGCCACCTCGGCTATGGCGCATCAGGCCCTGCATATGACGGCGCGCATGGAAGCGTGTACCAGCTCCGATACCAATGCAATCAGACTCGTTCTCAAACACACTTTTCATGCATGTAAACAGCAACGCAGCATACTGGCGACATGCGCCCACTCAAAACTCAGAGATATGGCTTTCAGACACGAGTTCACTCTCAAATGGCTATGGCGACTTCAGCGCCSCAAACATCTCACTGTTCACATACACTGGATCACCCTGGATATCCCACACGCATCACTCTAACACTCGAGCACACACACACACTCACTACTAACTACAGCTATGGCAGCTATGGCTGCCTCTAACCTATCACTATGCTAACTACTCCTCTCTCGCCCACTGCGTCCTCCGGGCTCATCTGCAGACCTCCTTGCACAAGTCGTTGTGGCAGCGCTTCCGCATGRCTCACGCAGGAATGAATGAATGGCTGGGCGCTGCCTCTTGATTTATACTTCAGAAACTCGTTGGTCTGCCCTTTGCCATCGGCCCTTGGTGCTCACAGTCCCCCTGTTGTACTTGCTGGACCGGACTGGGACTGACTAGACCTTCCGTTGACTGACTGTGGACTCACCGCTATCCTACCGCCGTTGCACTGYTGTTGCACTGCGGTTTAGTCCACCACTTGCCTCACCACTTGACCACTTGCCCACTTGCCCACTTGCCTACCTTCTAGAAGGTCTACAGCTAAGCTTCCAGAACTCACTAAGACTCCTACGCTATAGACCTACAGATCGAACCCCTGCTGTCTATGGACCTACGACAGGTCTACCAACTGCCTACGAATACACAGGTCACAGGTTCAATTCTCGGGGTCTACACAGATACTGTACATGGGTAGGGTGAGGTCTAGGGATCGAACCCTGGGTACTGCATTCGCTACTGCTAAAAGGTGAAAAACGTTTCACACACACACACACTGACACACACACACACACGCACACGCGCACACACACACACACACACACACACACTGGCACACAAACTAGGGCATTCGTTTTTTTTCTTTTTCTTTTCTGATCAATCAATCAATCAATCAACCAATCACAGTCAATCAATCAATCAATCAACCAATCAGAGTCAATCAATCAATCAATCAACCAATCACAGTCAATCAATCAATCAATCAATCAGTACGTGTGTCTATCAAAAACAGAAAAAAAAAGAAAACGGCTTTGGTTTTTCTTTCCATTATTATCTTTTTCTTTTTCCATTTATATTTGCATATGCCGCGGAAAAAAAAAGAATCAAGACCAGACACAACCCAATGTACACTCGCACACGCCACTCTCTCTGCGGCTATGGCCGCTGCCTACCCTATCGCTATGGCTAAGCTTCCTTCTCGCCCACTTCGTCTTCATGTGCACCATGTTTATCCCACCAGCAATCAGAAAAAAATCAAAAAAAAAAAAAGTTCCCTTTTTTTATTATGTTTCTTAAACTTTCTTTTGATTGTAGTACTTGTTTTTTTTCATTTTTTATTTTTGCGAGGATCTGGGTCCTCGGCAGGCCTAATGGGACCCTGTTGCAAATGTGCCCGCCCTAAGTGAAGGCGGGCCTAACAAATCACCAGAGGCCCTCAGCTGCCAATTTCGTATTTGGGGTCCAGGCAGTTGCGACGCGCCAGTTGGTTGAGGGAAACACAGGCCGAACAGCAAAGACATTCCACTGCCTTCCGGGCCTTTCCAAAACCGCAGGCCCTGGGCGAGAATGGCAGCCTCATACACAGACAGTTGGGAGGCCCAACCGAATGAGGGCCAGTAGCTGCAACAGAGGCGCAGCATCCTGGGGCCTACCGGAAGCTTCTGGGCAAAGGCCCAGGATAGCCAGGCTGCAAAAGCAGGCAGGCTCTTTCCATATAGGGAAGAGCTCGCCGCCTGGAGCCTCATTCAGCACTTGCATGCTGGCGGCAGCGCTGCTGGAGCGAACGCTCGAGGGCTGCTGCTGGCGCTGAGAGGCAACTTGAAGGTGCTAGCGCGTGCGGTCATGCAGGCAGCAGGGCGCTGCTGTCAGCCCAGCCTCCATAGCTGGATGGGCTTGGACTACAGTGAGGCGCAGGGGTGGTCTTTGGGTGTATAGAGGGAAGACGTGGGAGTAAGTCAGTAGAGAGAGAGAAGGATGATGATGATCATCATTGATGCAAGGGCACATACCTGGTATTGGCGATGGTCTGCATTGGGCGACATCTTCAAGTACTTCAAGTACTAGTAGGGAGATAGAGCCTGGACACTCATGTTGGTGGTGGCGAGAACAAGCTCTCATTAACATTGGTTTTCAGTGTTACGATTCTTCATTGGTGTCATATTGGTGCAATGTAGCTTTCTGGACACTGTGATACTTTCTGGCTTTCAGTGTGATTGTGCATTCTGGTTATTGTCATCTGGCTTCTGCTCATTTTCCTTGCATTTTTTTAAAATCACAAAAAAGTTAAAAAACATCACAATCCAAAAAAATATATATGGGGATGTAGGGATTTTCAAACCCTACAACCCCATATATATTTTTTTCCCCGCCTAATATCCCTTGAATTAAAAATGTCAGGGGGGTTGTGGCCACACTTGGCCTCCGTGGTTGGCCCCCGCAGCCATGATCCTGACGCGGTCAGCGGGCCCGCGGTCATGACCTCGGGTGATACATAGGTAGTGTGTCGCCGCAGTTCGCGGAATGCATGCCTGTGTTGCAGTAGTAGGAACCCATGATGCAGACTCGTGTGGTTGGCTGGCGGATCCAGATTCCTTTTCTTCGTAGACATGCGTCGTTGGTTGGTCTATTTGTCCGTCGCCGTAGTCATTTTCGGAAGTCATTATCGCACGTGGCATTCGGCCCGTCTTTCAGAAATTTTGATTTTCCTCGCTATTCTATGCGATTCTGTGATTCTTTATTTTTTCATTTTTTTGGGTTTACTATTCTTCTTTTTTTTATTTGTTGGTTCCTTTAACTGTGTTATAACATTTTGTTGCGCGCGGAGCGGATTCCCAAGCATGCACGTGCGCATTCGTGTTTGCTTGTGCGTGGCCATATCGTGGGAAAGTGCATGCGTGATTTCGTGTTGCGCGTGCGTGTGTTCGTGTCTGTTTGCGGGTCGGCTTGTGTGAACGATTGAGGGTGTTCTCCTACATACACACGAAATCATCGGCCAATGCATCTCAACTATCTGTTGTGACAGACAAACAACGACGTCCTCTTTATCGACACACACGAAACAAACCTGAACAAAAGCAATAAAGGGAGTGATGAATCAAAGGAAAGCATGGCCCACCAACACGAAGACTGAGCGAAACCGACAGATGCACATGAAACACCCATGGAAACTATGCATGACAAACGTTGAGGCACACTGCAAAAGTGAAACGATCAAAACGCATTCATCAAATGAGAAATTTCATGAATAACACTCCCACGACGACGACAAATGCACACTTAAAGAAATGAAAGATCATGGTCGCACCAGCAAACAATACATGCATGGCTGTAAAATAAAACAGCATCAAGAATTTGAAGCTTGCACCTTCACACGAGCCCCGGGATCGCATAAATTTGTGGACATTCGCCATCAAACAGGACAGCCTTCCCACAAACTCCTTGCTCCACAAGAGGCGCTACTGCATCAGGAGGAAGCATGTGGCTTCTCCCCCCACCCTAAGAAGGCACGTCGACACAGAAAATGTGCAAGTGGCAACCACACAAGCACACCAGGATGCTAGACTGCCGGCCATCCTCCCTCCCTTGTGAGAAAACACCCTCCACGGCTCGCTCCCCTCCACTCACAGTAACCACCCATCGTCATCGTCTTGCCACGTCAGCTTCACATGCCTAACCCCCCTCCAGCGCTGTCCGGTGCGGCAGGTTCATCTTCTTCGTCCTCGAGGGGCCTGTCCCCAACCAGTCCAGCCTTTCCACGTTCATGGGTGATAGCAGAGTGGCGTCATGTTCGAATGTGATGATGCAGGATGCGCAGTCGGAGATGTAGAGAGGCAGCTCCGCCAACATCATCGCGGGCTTGCCCATCCTCTCCGTGACGACAATGGTTGCTTGAAGAATGTGGCAACGAGCATCGAACGAACCATGCATGGACACCGCTAGTGTCGGCTTCGCGGTGAGCTCGACGAACAAGGACGCGTCGAAATGGGAACACAGATCATCCCTACTCATCCACATGAGCCACATCGTCGTCGCAAGTAAAAGCCTCATAGCCTTTGCGTCATTCTTCAGCCTCTCGTAGGAGATGCGCCCATCGTCGATCCCCTTCGCCAGACTGATGGCTTCGTGAAAGCCCCCACCAGCCGCTGCAGGCTCGTCTCTTGGTAGGATGCCAGCTCGTCGTCCTCGTGCATATCCTCGATGTTCTCGCCGACAAACCAAATGGGGAGCCTCATGTCCATCTCCGATGCGATGTGGCAGACAGCCCTCTCCAAGCGGGGCTGATGCGCGTGCACCAACCCTCTCCAAACCACATGGCGCGGGTGATGTCCGTTGCCACATGGTTCAACACGTATCCGTACGTGACGTGGTATCCTTGTAAGCGACTCGTAAACTTCAACATCCACCCATGGATGGCGAGTGAGGCGAGTTCTACACTTTCGCCGCCCTGTATTTGGCCTCCCTCAGCTCAGACTCGTCGATTTTGTGTTGCACGATATTGGAGAGCAGGAGAACAACATTTTGACCGATGTCGGGTTGGGGGAACCCCCTGGCGATGGCCACCATATACAGTCGTGCTTCATGGATAATCTTGAAGAGGCCATTAGCCTTCGTCTCATTCAAGAACCTGATGTCGTCTACCCACAGTTTGGTCGCAGATCCTATCTCCTATGCACCACTCTGTCGACGCTGCGTGTTCACCACAAGGTCGTCATCATGGTCATTCCTACGGCTGTCCCCAAGTGTCGCACTCACAGCCGCTCTTGAAGATCCTGCCACACCACCCCCTCTCCCCTTCACTGCAGGTGCGCATTGTGCTCCCTAGACGCTCCCAACTACCACCGCATTCTCCACGTGGAGTGGCAGGGGTTGACGACAGCCGTCCCGATTGCTTCCCATCAGGTGTCGTATAGACATCTCCTCGAAGCGCATCCCCTGCGCGCGTCGTCTGCGGAGCAACCTGACCTTGCACCTACCGCGGCTCAGCAGCGGTGTCCACGTCAACAACTCCCTCAGCCCTGCCACGGACCCTCCTGCCGCAGGGTTGCTGAACATTCGATGACCACACCTAATTAATTCGCACCCTCCCTTGTGTGCGCACTGACGCTTGTCTCACATCGGCCACATCATCGTCAACAACGACGTTGTCGTCATCCTCTGCAACTTCAGAATCCCTCACCCATTCTTTCTCCCTCCGGGTGGCTCCGCTTAAAGGGCCCTCCGCAGCAGCCTTCCTCTTCTTCGCGGCATGCCGTCCTTTCTTCTCCGTAATAGGAAGGTCCCATGTGTAACTCTCCCTCTTCCTGCCAGATGACGATCTCTGCAGCTCCGACGATGAAGGCGATGTAGGAGGAAGGCGATGCACGAAACGACGGTTAGGTGCGGCATCGCGTTCGTGCGAACGGAAGGTTAGGCACGCAGTGCTAGCTTCCCAGATGGTAGGCAAGTGCACGCAGTCCACCTTGGTGTGGAGGTACGACGATGTGGACGCGAGTCGAGACAGGGGGGGAGTGTACTTCAAAGGATGGAGGCGCGAGGTCTATGGCCGCTCATGCGAACGATCTTGGCAAGGCGCTATATATATATATATATATATATATATATATATATATATATATATGCGCGAGCAAGGGTGGTGGGCAAGAAGGACAGGCCAGTACTCCTCCCAAACATTTCCTTGGAACAACAATGACGGTTGACAGCAACACAATTGCCACCAATGTTATTCAGCACGCCCTCATCGTTCACCCCCACGTATACACCGATGTGCAGACCCAGCTTGTCGCCTGATCTAACGTCGTATCCCCCGCGCGCTCGTCGCTAGTCTTGCCCCTGCCACCCCACTCGAAACAGCGAACCTACCTTCCCCTCCCCCCTCCGGCAACCGATCCAAACCCACACTAGAAAACAACGCATTCGCAGAACGACTCCCCCCATCCAAAGTCCCAACCCCTTCACAGATTGAACGGTAGGATTGAGACCCCAAAACACATAGACACATCTGCCAAATTCCCAGCAGCAGGCTTTGACCCCCACATTTTTTACCGTGTTTCCATCTCTCCAACAGGCACCCTCACTATGTACCATGTTATTCAAATTTATGCGTGTGTGTGTGTGTGTGTGTGTGTGTGTGTGTGTGTGTGTGTGTGCCCCTCACAGATTGAACGGCACGATTGAGGCCCCAAAAAACACAGACACATCTGCCAAATTCCCAGCAGCAAGTTTCGAAAGCCCCCTCATCTTTTACCGTGTTTCCATCTCTCCAAAAGGCACCCTCACTATGTACCCTATGATATTCAAATTTGTGTGTGTGTGTGTGTGTGTGTGTGTGTGTGTGTGTGTGTGTGTGTGTTTCAAAGTCTTTGTGTTTCAGTGCGGTACATTGCAATGACGTCTCGCAGAGTGGATTTGTGGGCTACGGTGTACGGTGCCGGACCGATGCGCTCGACCGCGGACGCAGGGTTGACTTATATCGACTCGCAATGCAAGCATATGCAAGCAGTCGCGATGATGGCGTACTTAGTACCCATGCGGTCCTCGTTAATTTTGAGGGTCGCATTCGACACTCAAGTGTCGGCTGACACGCGGCTTTCGAGGGAATAATCTCTCGACGTTGGACAACCGCCAAGTGCGGTTGAAAGCCACACCCTCTTCTGCATCCTGCGGAGAGTAGGTGGTACACATGTTCATACCTGTGGTAGCAATCGTCTCTTATCGCCCTGGAGACCAGCTCTATCATCCAGGGTCTGGAAAGAAGTCAAGGGGTTTGACTTTGACGGCTGCCACGGACTACAACGTCCAACCATAAAAATTAATAAGCAGCTTGAAAATCAATCAATAAATAAGTAAACACCCAACACTCGTATATCAAATCAGAACTCGAGATAAAATAAAAGAAGGGGGAACATAAATCCATCAGGTATGCAGATCCTGCCACACATGGTTGTCATTCTCACTTCCTCCAAAGTAAGACTCGAATACCAAGCTCCAAAATACTGACCTGCATAAAACATAGGACAAACGACAGCCACATTGCCATGCATCAATGTGGCCAACTTTACTGCTTCATGTAACTCACACCGCGCCTCACACTCAAGCTCCAATCATAATTCAACTTTCCATAAATCTCATAAGTTCTTTATAATGGTGTGCGCGTGGCGTGTGGAATGCGTCCTAGTCGACCGACGACGAGTCGCGCTTGGGACCTCAGCCCCCCAAGGTGCCGGTTCGCGTGCGGGTTCGATATAGGCGTAATACCGCGCATACCCCCTATGCTACAACGAACGAGAAACGCCCTCGGCTGGTCCACCTCTGCGATTGCAACTGGTTAGCTTTCGTACTGTGGACTGATAGCTCGGCGGGGATACGCCCACCGAAGGGAGGTGACAGCTCCCGTAAGGTGGAGGTAAATCGTGCCTCACGTAGGCCCTATCCTGTCGTGTAGGGGTAGGCCCTATCCTGTCGTAGGGGCTCGCGAGAGGTATGGCTGGCACACTCGGTCGGAGCAGCTTGTGGAAGCTTCATTATGTTCTTGCGGTGAGGATTAAGACCAACTCCTGCGTGACGCGGCCGGGAGGGTCCCGTGCTGCCCTGTGCGATTCCGGACCAATACGCTCGACAACAATTGTGTCAGTACGAGCTCTCAGCTTTCCATTGCTGTATTCATTTATGTCCTCCTTCGTGTTGCCACCCCTATCTTCGTTCTTGCAATGTCATCATATTGTTCGATCATGAGGGCGAGGATTTCCAACGAATGTGTAAAAATAGGAGACTTCCGATCATGCAAAAGGTTGCAGACGACCATCAATAGGTAAATTTGAATCTTTACAAAAAGTGTGGACATTCGTATTCCAAAGCAAGGCTGCATTAAAGATGCCACCTTGACGCACCAACAGCATTCATCATCAGCACTCCCTTTTTCATTCTTCCATTGGCATGCTATAACGCACAACGTGCACATTCAACTGTTGGACCCCGTACGCATGTTATCATTTCAGTGCCGCAGACGACTTTATGCACGACTCTGGCGGAAACTGGCATTCGGCACTCACCCTTCATTACATTTCTCATTACATTGATTGTTATCACACACAAACCTCATGCATACAAACAGAACGACACAACGTGATAGTGACTGTTAACCACGTCATGACAAGCATTATGTTCGATAACAGAACACATAATGGGAAGAATAATGTATTACCGGAAAGGAAATTTTTTAAAAGTTGGCCTGATCTCCTGCAGATGGGAATGAACCTCAATTGTTGTTTTCATTACAAGTTAAAAATAAATTAAAAAATGGGACTTTTATACCAAACGAGATTTAGGTTTAAATTCCTCCCCCTCACCCCCCCCCCGCCCTCCCGCAAGGCCATCCGAATAACGGCAGACAGGTGAGCATGACGACATGCTCAGCATGGGTCAAGGAAACGACCGTCGCCGGGACGACCAACAGCAGGCCTTCCACGTGGGTGGACGATGATGCACGCGGCGAAAGTTACAGAACAGGTTTCCGTCCGGTCGGGTGCGAGCCCCTCTTCTACCTCTCCCATATACCCTTTGCTATCTCCAATAACGCATGGCAGAATAACTTCCTCAAGTCTCACGCCACGTAGTGCGTTCTCTGCACCTCAACCTCCACTTCCATAGCTTTGCACTACCGAATTTGGATGGAGCATTGCCTTTTGCAAATGCTCTCCAATGTCATTGCCATTAGCGTCTCATACTTCTCCATACACTCCATCAGAGCTTCGATAGCCTGCTGCCTCATGTTCGTCCTCTTGCCAAATCTGGCAGCTATCATCTTCTTCGTTGCCGTCGACAGCTGCGATCCCATCGCCCACAGACTCAGGTCCGCCAGAAGACCTGGATGGCAGCTGCACACAACCAGCACCCCCTGTGTCGGCAACATTCCTATGGTGTATGGTGTGACTCTTGGCGGTGGACCCGTTGATTTCGTCATACACAGCCCGATACATGGTGAAACTGAACCCCTTCACTAGCCTCTCCTTCCCCGTCAATAGAAGTCAGTCCTGTTTCCCAGACTCTTTCTGGAACAGGTGCACCTTCTTGAACAGTTGCATCAAGTTCGCCTTCATCAAAACCTCTCATCAAGTCCCATTACTTCCCGCACTGATCTGTTGTCTTATCAATGCCCACCTTCTTCAAAACCTCTCATGGACATCCGCCCATTTCCATTCCATCGGCTTCATGCGAGCATACACGTGGCCAATCCAACGCAGATGTACATCTTGGTCGCGCTTCCCTCTGATGAGGGCAACCATGTGTTCGATTGACCAGAAGTTCCGTCCGCCCTCCGCCGACTCCTCGCCTTCGACCTCGCTCCCAGTAGACACTGCTTTTTTTCCCCTCAGGCCAGTGGAGGTACAGCCATGAATTTCTTCCGCAACAAGCAGACGTCAGTCGCGTCGTC